CCCCCCAGCCCCGCGGCCATTTCCAACCTGGTTTTGTCCCAGGGCTTCAGCCCGTTCTCATTATTACAGGGTAATTACAGACCCGGTCTCATTATTACAGGGTAATTAGAGGTGGGGACGGAGCAGGTGCCCCCCCAGAGGTCCCCCCGGCAGCGCACACCCCCCGGGACAGGGGAGGAGACCTGGGGAAGGCAGCTCCTGCCAAAGCCCCGGGAGAACCTCCTGCTCCTCGGCCAAACCGGTTTGACCAAAGTCTCTTGGAAAAAACCTGACAAAGTCCGTGGTTTAACTGGGAGGGAGAGATCGGGCAGGAAATTCAGCTTTATTGTGGGCACGAGCACCTCTGCCTCGCTCAGGGAGACACAGAGAGTGAAGAGAAACTTCTGAGGAGAAGGATCTGGGGGTCCTGGTGGACAGTGAACTGTCCATGAGCCAGCCATGGGCCCTTGTGGCCAAGAGGCCAATGGGATCCTGGGCTGCGAAGGGCAGAGTGTGGCCAGGAGGTGGAGGGAGGTCATTCTCCCCCTCTGCTCTGCACTGGGGAGGCCACAACTGGAATCCTGCGTCCAGTGCTGGGCTCCCCAGTTCAAGAGGGACAGGGAACTGCTGGAGAGAGTCCAGCGTAGGGCAACAGAGATGATGGAGGGATTGGAGCATCTCCCGTGTGAGGAAAGGCTGAGAGAGCTGGGGCTCTTGAGCCTGGAGAAGAGAAGGCTGAGGGGAGACCTTATCAATGCTGACAAGTGTCTAAAGGGTGGGTTGAAGGAAGATGGAGCCGGACTCTTTTCAGTGGTTCCCAGGGACAGGACGAGGGGCAACGGGCACAAGCTGGAACATAAAGGGTTCCACTCCAATCTGAGGAAGAACTTGTTTGGGGTGAGGGTGGCAGAGCCCTGGCAGAGGCTGCCCAGGGAGGGTGTGGAGTCCCCTTCTCTGGAGATCTTCAAGCCCCACCTGGATGCTCCTGAGTGATGTGCTCTGGGCAACCCTGCTTTGGCAGGGGAGTTGGACTGGATGGGCTCTAGAAGGTCCCTTCCAACTCCAACAACAGAGGTTATTTTTTAATGAACAGCCACATGGTTACACGAGGCAGAGCCGATCAGCCATTAACTGCCCCTCCCCACCCCCCCTCACCCCCCCAGTAACCCCCAGCACTGTAGATGGCGTTATTTATGGAGCAAATTGTTTTACTGTGATTATTCAGTAACAGAAGTCCATCTTTTGGGCCAGTCACCCAGTTCCACTCCAAGGGCCTGACGCAGCCCCCAGCAGCAGGAGGCAGGGGTGCCCAGCACAGGGACAGGGGGGCAGCACCCCCTCCCTGACTCCCAGACACAACCCAGGGCAGGGGGACAGGGACTCACCCTCCTGCCCCTGCTCAGGGGGAAAAACCTGTCCCTTTCCCTCCCCGCTTTGCTCTGGAGAGAAAAACTGCCCAAGAAGCTGTAACAGGGGTGGGAGCATCCCCAGCACAAAATACAGCTTTGAAATGGAGTCACTCAAGGTCTCACTGTGTCTCAGACAGGAGGGTTGAATCTTCAGAGACCTACACAACAGTTCATCAGTTCCTCACAAAAAAATATTAAAAATTTGTTTCTGGGAGCAAGGGGAAGCATCTGTGCCCAAGCCTGAGGGGAACCCCACACCGCAGTCTCTGCTGCTGCTTTTCCAAGGTTCAGTCTCATTTTGTCCAGTTTTTCTTCCCAGTACCAAGTGTTCCAGGTTTGCTCAATACACCACAGGACACACCACCACGCTGTGTTTGTTACCCGGCACCTGCACTGCCCAAATCCAGACAGGTTTGAAGAAAGCACCACAGAATTTGGGTTTTTAAGGCTCAGATCAGTTAATGCTAAACCTAGAGCTGGATTTCATTCCTCTCTTCAGAAACAAGAGATGTGAGTATTTGCTTTGCAACTTTCAGACACACTCAGTGACACTGATCTCTCCCGATCTCGCCAGGGCTGGAAAGAGGTCGATGTTTTTTCCCTATAAACTCCACATGAAGCCAAAGAAGACAGAGACAGAGCATTGAACTTTCCTTTTAATGGTCTCAAATTCTGTGACAGATTATTTTTTTTATTTTTGGTCAAGTTTCCATTTTAAAAAAATTTTTATCGATTTTTTTTTTTTTTTCAAAGACTAATAACTTAAACTGCCACGAAACAAATGGTCCACAAACATTCCTTTCCTCCTGAAGCTTTTGCGATGCATGGTAATCATTAACCAGTCTTTGACTATGGAACTGAAATGGCCAATTGCGACACACAGCTCTGAGACCGTCCTTCCTCCCCCGACCCAGCCCTGGCCAGCTGCCCCACACCACTTTCATTTGGCTTTTTGGGCCTTCTGGGCAGACTTCGTCACCTTCCCGGCGCCTCCTGCCTTCTTGTCCACCGCCTTGATGACCCCCACGGCCACCGTCTGCCTCATGTCGCGCACAGCGAAGCGTCCTGCCGACAAAAACACAAGGTTTAGGTTGGGTTTCTTTTCCCCCCTCCTCCCTGAAGGCTGTCCCCCCCCACAGCGTTACCCCCAGGGCACAGACTCCAGGCAAGTGGGCAACCACCACCCCCCCAGGAGAGCAACCTCCGTGTGATGACCATGTAAAATCACCCCAAGTACCCCTGAAGCGTTGGCCACACTTGGGAGTCCCCACACAAGTCCCAACTTTTAAGGGTTTTCTCCAGAGATGAGGGCCAAGGGGTGGGTTTTTGGAAGCCTTACCCAGAGGAGGGTAGTCGGAGAAGCTCTCCACACACATGGGCTTGCCCGGGATCATGTCAACGATGGCGGCGTCTCCAGACTTGAGGAACTTGGGGCCATCCTCCAGCTTCTTGCCGGAACGACGGTCGATCTTCTCCTTGAGCTCAGCGAACTTGCAGGCGATGTCTTTGGGGTGAGGGTGGCAGAGCCCTGGAAGAGGCTGCCCAGGGAGGGTATGGAGTCCCCTTCTCTGGAGATCTTCAAGCCCCACCTGGATGCCATCCTGAGGGATGTGCTCTGGGCCACCCTGCTTTGGCAGGGGAGTTGGACTGGATGGGCTCTAGAAGGTCCCTTCCAACTCCAACAACAGAGGTTATTTTTTAATGAACAGCCACATGGTTACACGAGGCAGAGCCGATCAGCCATTAACTGCCCCTCCCCACCCCCCCTCACCCCCCCAGTAACCCCCAGCACCACAGATGGCGTTATTTATGGAGCAAATTGTTTTACTGTGATTATTCAGTAACAGAAGTCCATCTTTTGGGCCAGTCACCCAGTTCCACTCCAAGGGCCTGACGCAGCCCCCAGCAGCAGGAGGCAGGGGTGCCCAGCACAGGGACACGGGGGCAGCACCCCCTCCCTGACTCCCAGACACAACCCAGGGCAGGGGGACAGGGACTCACCCTCCTGCCCCTGCTCAGGGGGAAAAACCTGTCCCTTTCCCTCCCCGCTTTGCTCTGGAGAGAAAAACTGCACAAGAAGCTGTAACAGGGGTGGGAGCATCCCCAGCACAAAATACAGCTTTGAAATGGAGTCACTCAAGGTCTCACTGTGTCTCAGACAGGAGGGTTGAATCTTCAGAGACCTACACAACAGTTCATCAGTTCCTCACAAAAAAATATTAAAAATTTGTTTCTGGGAGCAAGGGGAAGCATCTGTGCCCAAGCCTGAGGGGAACCCCACACCGCAGTCTCTGCTGCTGCTTTTCCAAGGTTCAGTCTCATTTTGTCCAGTTTTTCTTCCCAGTACCAAGTGTTCCAGGTTTGCTCAATACACCACAGGACACACCACCACGCTGTGTTTGTTACCCGGCACCTGCACTGCCCAAATCCAGACAGGTTTGAAGAAAGCACCACAGAATTTGGGTTTTTAAGGCTCAGATCAGTTAATGCTAAACCTAGAGCTGGATTTCATTCCTCTGTTCAGAAACAAGAGATGTGAGTATTTGCTTTGCAACTTTCAGACACACTCAGTGACACTGATCTCTCCCGATCTCGCCAGGGCTGGAAAGAGGTCGATGTTTTTTCCCTATAAACTCCACATGAAGCCAAAGAAGACAGAGACAGAGCATTGAACTTTCCTTTTAATGGTCTCAAATTCTGTGACAGATTATTTTTTTTATTTTTGGTCAAGTTTCCATTTTAAAAAAATTTTTATCGATTTTTTTTTTTTTTTTCAAAGACTAATAACTTAAACTGCCACGAAACAAATGGTCCACAAACATTCCTTTCCTCCTGAAGCTTTTGCGATGCATGGTAATCATTAACCAGTCTTTGACTATGGAACTGAAATGGCCAATTGCGACACACAGCTCTGAGACCGTCCTTCCTCCCCCGACCCAGCCCTGGCCAGCTGCCCCACACCACTTTCATTTGGCTTTCTGGGCCTTCTGGGCCGACTTCGTCACCTTCCCGGCGCCTCCTGCCTTCTTGTCCACCGCCTTGATGACCCCCACGGCCACCGTCTGCCTCATGTCGCGCACAGCGAAGCGTCCTGCCGACAAAAACACAGACTTTAGGTTGGGTTTCTTCTCCCCCCTCCTCCCTGAGGGCTGTGTCCCCCCACAGCGTTACCCCCAGGGCACAGACTCCAGGCAAGTGGGCAACCACCACCCCCCCAGGAGAGCAACCTCCGTGTGATGACCATGTAAAATCACCCCAAGTACCCCTGAAGCGTTGGCCACACTTGGGAGTCCCCACACAAGTCCCAACTTTTAAGGGTTTTCTCCAGAGATGAGGGCCAAGGGGTGGGTTTTTGGAAGCCTTACCCAGAGGAGGGTAGTCGGAGAAGCTCTCCACACACATGGGCTTGCCCGGGATCATGTCAACGATGGCGGCGTCTCCAGACTTGAGGAACTTGGGGCCATCCTCCAGCTTCTTGCCGGAACGACGGTCGATCTTCTCCTTGAGCTCAGCGAACTTGCAGGCGATGTGGGCGGTGTGGCAGTCCAGCACCGGGGCGTAGCCAGCGCTGATCTGCCCAGGGTGGTTCAGGATGATCACCTGGAAACCAACAAAGCCCCAAGTTAACCCCAGGGCAATCCCAACACTCCTGGGCCTCACAACGCCAGGGCTCTCCTGAGACTGGCACCAGCAAATACACCTCGGAACACAGCGCTGTGTCACTGCACAGCTCAGCCCACGGGTAAGAAAGGACAAATATGGTATTTCACAGGGACCTTAGAGCCCCTTCCAGTCCCTCAAGGGGCTCCAGGAGAGATGGGGAAGGACTCTGGATCAGGGAGGGGAGCCATAGGAGGAAGGATTGGACACTGGAAGAGGGGAGATTGAGCTGAGACATGGGGAAACAAATATGGTATTTCACAGGGACCTCACAGCCCCTTCCAGTCCCTCAAGGGGCTCCAGGAGAGATGGGGAAGGACTCTGGATCAGGGAGGGGAGCCATAGGAGGAAGGATTGGACACTGGAAGAGGGGAGATTGAGCTGAGACATGGGGAAGAAGAACTTCTTTGGTGTGAGGGTGGCCCAGGTTGGCCAGAGAAGCTGTGGCTGCCCCATCCCTGGAGGGGTTCAAGGGCAGGTTGGAGGGGGCTTGGAGCAACCTGGTCTGGTGGGAGGTGTCCCTGCCCAGGGCAGGGGGTGGCACTTGGGGTGGGGCTTTAAGGTCCCTTCCACCCAACCCATTCTGTGACTCCATGCTTACCTGTGCAGTGAAGCCAGCAGCTTCCATGGGAGGATCGTTCTTGCTGTCCCCAGCAACGTTGCCACGACGAACATCTTTCACAGACACGTTCTTCACGTTGAAGCCAACGTTGTCACCAGGCAGAGCCTCGGCCAGGGCCTCGTGGTGCATCTCCACAGACTTCACTTCAGTTGTAACGTTGACGGGGGCAAATGTCACCACCATGCCTGGCTTCAGAACCCCGGTCTCCACCCGGCCAACTGGGACAGTACCAATACCTGCAGGAGAGGAGCAACGTCAGTAATCCAGGCTCAAGGGGTACATGCCTTTGGAGGAGACACCACTTTAGACAAGTATTCTGAACACTTTCCACCTGAGAAGCAGTTCTTGGGCAAGCAACCCCCTTTCTGCCCCATACATCAGCCCTTGCCCAAGGGAGAAGGGTCACAGAGAAGAACACCCACCGCCAATTTTGTAGACATCCTGAAGAGGCAGGCGCAGAGGTTTGTCCGTGGGACGGGTGGGTGGCAGGATACAGTCCAGGGCTTCAAGGAGGGTGGTTCCGCTGGCGTTACCGTCCTTTCGGGTCACCTTCCACCCCTTGAACCAGGGCATCTGCAAGAGGAAGCAGCCCAGGCATCAGCCATCTGACAATCTCAACAGTACAGCGTTAGAAGACAGACCAAGCGGCACATCTCAGTGCCCTACTGCAGAGCAGGAGTACCCAAAGTGCTGGGATTTCATCCTCGAGCTCAGCACCCCCAAACAGGGCTGCATTAAAAGACACCTACGTTTTGCTCTTGCCTAATTTATCCCAGCAACCCTCCCCGTTTAATTTGTTAACATAAACGAACGTCAAACCTACGTTAGAGCTGGGCTCCAACATGTTGTCTCCGTTCCAACCAGAAATTGGCACGAAAGCTACAGTGTCTGGGTTGTAGCCAATTTTCTTGATGTAAGTGCTGACTTCTTTGACAATCTCCTCGTATCTCTTCTGGCTGTAGGGCGGCTCGGTGGAATCCATCTTGTTGACGCCGACGATGAGCTGTTTGACACCCAGGGTGTAGGCCAGAAGGGCGTGCTCACGGGTCTGCCCGTTCTTGGAGATACCGGCCTCGAACTCCCCGACACCAGCAGCCACGATCAGGACAGCACAGTCAGCCTGGGAGAGGGAAAACCAACAATCCCCGTTATTATATTATTCATAGAACATATATATAATGTATAATTTATATTATGTATGTAATAACTGCATTTATTATATATTATTAAATACATTATATACACTTGGACGTGTGTCAAGGTATCAGGGGAAACCCCTCCAGTCAGGGGAACACCTGCCCGAGCTGCCGACCCCCCCCGTGCTGTTTCCCCACCTGTGAAGTTCCAGTGATCATGTTCTTGATGAAGTCTCTGTGGCCGGGGGCGTCGATGATGGTGACGTAGTATTTGCTGGTTTCGAACTTCCAGAGGGAAATATCGATGGTGATACCACGCTCACGCTCAGCCTTCAGCTTGTCCAAGACCCAGGCGTATTTGAAGGAGCCCTTGCCCATCTATGGATTTCAAAAAAATAAATTGGTTCTCCTCCCTTTTCCAAAGAATCTCTATTTGCATTTACTTCAGAAAGATCCCACGCTGGCTGAGGAGCAACATCTAAGAATAGTTAAGTGGCTTAATGCTGAAAAATGTCACTGCTTGTAAAACAAGCAACAAGATCCCCCTTGGCACTGCCGGTGAGAGATGCCAAGTGCTGGCAGTCACTGAGCCTGCTGACAGCCCTGCCCTCTCACAGCTCGTTAACGGCACCAACGGGGCTTCACCGCCAAGCTCTTGAGCCTGAGCCCGGCTATCAAGTGTCCTCTACAAATTTCGGATCCCTTACAAGTGCAATCCCTGCGATAACCAACACTGCCGCTGCCAGTCAGCCTGGTGTGCGTTATGCTTCATTCTGAGGTGTGCTTCACACGTTTAGGGGGCAATTACGCAGGAAAAATAATAAGAGAAGTAGATTTGGTAAAACTTTCTATGGATTCAAACACCAAAATCCATTCCTTTCGTGTTCAGAAGTAAAATTTATCAGAGCAATTTTTAAGTTTTATGCTCAACTATGTTCTGTTTGAAGACCGAAGCTGGGAACTCCACCTAAACTGTGATTGTGGGCACAACGCTTAGCTTTAGACTCCGGGCACAAGGCGTAGCTTTGGACTCCCGTTTCCCTTCCCACCATCCTGCACTCCCCACTCCCACCTTTGCCAATTAAGCCCCCGGTGGAGCCCGCGCCCCGTCCCGCCTCCAGCCCCGGGGAGGAGCAGCTCCCTGTGCCGCCAGCGGGCAGGCTGCCCCCGCCCCGCCTCCCCGCGGCCGCCACACGCTCTGCAGCTCCCGTTTTGCAACTCCAAAAACCTCTCTCTCCTCGTCCCTGTCCCGCCCCCGGAGCGCGCACCTCGGCGGCTTCCTTCTCGAACTTCTCGATGGTTCTCTTGTCGATGCCCCCGCACTTGTAGATGAGGTGCCCGGTGGTGGTGGACTTGCCAGAATCGACGTGGCCGATGACGACGATGTTGATGTGGGTCTTTTCCTTTCCCATCTCGGATGGCGGTTGGGGTTTCTCTCTTCCGGCAGAAAAGAATCGACACCTGGAAGGGGGGATCCCCAGAGAAGCAGCCGTGAAGCCGGCCGCCGCCGAGGCCTACCTACCGCGCGGGCCGGGCCCCGCACAGCCCCGCCATGGCGGCCCCTCAGGCACGCC